GTGGTTTATAGTAACTGCTCAATAGGTCATAGCTATTAGTTTCTATAGGGTCACTTTCAACACTAGAAATACCTACAGGTATGTTTCATGCAGTCCATCTATTTAACTAGAGGTACAGTATGTTTTATCCTGGGACCAAACCGCCCATTCAAACACTATGTGCATTGACTGTATTACCTTCCCTCCCCATGAGCATGTCAGGGAGAACTGTTTTCCCAAAATTGAAATGAGACATCATGCTGTTGTCATTCCTCAGGACACGACCACACATGACTTTTCTGTTTGTTCTTGAGGGTACTGTTTATGACTTCCACAAGTGTGCCCAACACAAAGGCTCATGAGAGAATGCTGTAGGAGCTGTTAGGCAGAAGCTGTGATCCTCCTGAAAACGCACTGTGCTTTGTTTTTGATCTTTATACGTAAGGAAAACAATTTAATTGTCATTCCTGAAGTTCAGAACTAAGGTTATAGCTCTGCTACAGCAACTAAATAGAAATTTGTAGCATGTTTAAGCAGAAAAGTTCTTCCTAACACTTTCCTCTAGGCAATTTACATCTCTTATGCTAATTTAGACATTCCCTGTCTTATAGTCTTAATTTTTTTATATTGCAAATTGATTGCATGTATTTACAGTTAGCACCTAAGGTTTTTGTGGGATAAGCTGGGATATAGGCACATACAAAGATACATAAGTAATAAACATACACCACATATAGATAGGTGCATAACCATCTGTATATGTATGAATTGAATTTCTAGACCGAATGAAGAAAATGCTGAATCTGAGACTTTCATGCCAGTATCAAAGACTCTCTACTAGATAAGACAAACCGAAGAGCTTTTATGTAAAATAATTGTATTATTCCATGAAATAGTAAGAAAGCACTTCTCTTAATTCAGTGATATACTGAACAGAGTTTTTAGAACAAGATTAAAAGTTTGCAGGATTTATGGATTTTCTGCTTCTACACATATTACATCCAGAGTCATAGGAAGATTATGTCACCCTCTGTATTGAAGACTTACTTATGGCTCTGTGTTTAGTTTAAATGTCATTTTAAAAAGAAATTTCTTATTTTGAGAATAGTACCTTGTTTGTGTAAATTGACCTGCTAGGGAAAAGAAGGAAATCTTGTGTGCTTTGCCAGAATCTGCATTATTCTGGTAATTTCTCTAAATACATTCTTGGAGAATCGTGCAGCCTACTTGCTTCTTCTGTTCCAAGTCTCAGATACTCTCCTCTAAAACATCGTTGTGGTGATTCTGTAGACCCAGCTGTTTAGAATGGTTTACTGGAAACGTTTGTAAAGCAATTAAAAGTTTCTCCATGCCTCCTAACTTCCTATCTTCTTAACATTAAACCACCCTTTGTAATTTCCTTGTTTTTCTCACATTGACTGGATCTGAAGGGAACACTTATTTATGCCATAGCAAACAAGGCTTAACTGGTATTTTGGCTGACAGTACAGCTTTGTTTCCGTGCTTGTATAACCTCCTCTTCTGACAGCAGAACTTGGGGAGTTAGCCTCCTTAGCAAACTGCCTGTGCAGTGCCAGTGGAAGACACAGAGATTCTGTTATTACCAGAATACAGAATTGGCTGAGGGTTACTTCATTTTTCATTTATTGACTTAAGGAAAAATAACCCAATGTTAAAATCCAAAAATTACTTCAGAGATCAATAGAGATCACTCTATTATTCCATGAAATAGTATTTTGTCAGCTTGCAAAATAAAGGGCAATTCTCTCATTTGGTGGTGGTAGCTGTAGGGCAGTATAAATTTTCTTGCAGGATCTTCATTGGGTCCACAAAGACTAAGAAGGGTAATGATGCATTTCAGTCTTGAGGGAGAGTAGATAAACATGGTCTAAGATTAAGTTGTTTCCTAGCAAAACAAGAATTATTAGATCACTGCCTCAACCGTTTTTACAAATACATGTATGCAATAAATAAAAGCATTAGGCAGTAGGCATTCTTCTCCAAATGGAAACATTGTGGTTTCCAATTTGTGTTGAAAAGCTTCTTGATTTAAAAAAAAAACAAAAAAAACAAAAAGGAGAACCAAAACAACCAGATGAAAGCTGTAAAGGCTCTTCTCTAATAACACGGTGCTGTTTCAGATACTTTTCAAATTTTATTTACTTATTATTTTTCGGATGCTTATGAGAAACAATATTCTGTTTTGAAAGTCCACTGTTCAGTTACTGTTCATCTTTTACATAACTTCCATGTGGCACTGTTCAAACTCCTGTCCCAAGAACAAAATAAAAGGTATCCTTCTAAAAATGGCAGTCTCCCTAATTCCTTATTATACCCTTAACAAGACACATCATTCTCTCAATATTTTGAGCAGAGGATTATTAAAAGAGTCAGTGGTATTTGTAGCCCCCAATGAATACCAGCCTTAAGTGGCATTTGAAGCCAGTTAGAACAATTTGGTAACAGTTTTCTCTGTAAACTGTATATGCTGGTGAAATGTAAGGGGAAGAAGGAGAGTAGCCTCTGGATCCTTCTAGAGGGTGCATGAGTCCAACTTACAGCCAGAGAGCAGAGCTGTGTGTTCTTTTAGTCCCTCTGTTTTCCCATAACCTCGGTGCAAGTTTGTTATCACATTTGTCTTGTGATCGATGAGTGTCTGTCTTTATACCAGAGGCACTTAATAGGTTTCTATAGGAAGACAAATGATCTGGGAGATAGATTATATTAATTTAGGAGTCTGCAATGGGCCCTGTTTGTACTATCTCTGTGCAGTCTTGAGTCTCAAATTCTCCAAAGACAGGGAAACTAATCCTTACCAGATGCTTACAGGGAAGGGAATGCCAAATTTATTAAGTAATGTGAACTCCTCATTAATAAAAATCATCTATCAATGTATATCACTCATTATGAAAAGAATTACCCTGTCCACAATTTGCTTTCATTTTGCTTTTGATTAATTGTATTATGTATTGTCAACTAGGACACCACAGGAAATACAATTAGCATTATCAATGTTAATGATGGCTGAAGATTGACAGGAAGCCAAAAGTCTCTGCAGAATTCAGGGTAAAAAAACTCATCAACTCTAATAGTCTTTTTTTTTTTATTAAATATTTTTAATTTTATTTTATTTTGTTATTTTTAAATAGTTTTTTGTCAAGTTGGTTTCCATATAACACCCAGTGCTCATCCCAACAAGTGCCCTCCTCCATGGCCATCACCACCCTTCTCCTCTCCCCCACACCTATCAGCCCTCAGTTTGTTCTCAGCATTCAAGAGTCTCTCATGGTTTGCCTCCCTCCCTCTCCCCAACTATTTTTCCCTTTCTTCTCCCCCATGGTCCTCTGTTAAGTTCCTCCTAATCCTCCTATACGTGCAAACATATGGTATCTGTCCTTCTCTGCCTGACTTAATTCGCTCAGCATAACACCCTCGAGTTCCATCCATGTTGCTACACATGGCCAGATTTCATTGTTTCTCATTGCCATGTAGTATTCCATTGTATAGATAAACCACATCTTCTTGATCTATTCGTCAGTTGATGGACACTTAGGGCTCTTTCCATGTTTTGGCTATTGTTGAGAGTGCTGCTGTGAACATTGGGGTACATGTGCCCCTGTGCATCAGCACTCCTGGATCCCTTGGGTAAATTCCTAGCAGTGCTATTGCTGGGTCATAGGGGAGTTCTAGTGTTAATTTTTTGAGGAACCTCCACATAGTTTTCCAGAGGGGCTACACCAGTTTACATTCCCACCAAGAGTGTAGGAGGGTTCCCATTTCTCCACATCTTCGCCAGCATCTAGAGTCCTCTGATTTGCTCATTTTAGCCACTCTGACTGGTGTGAGGTCATATCTCAGTGTGGTTTTGATTTGTATTTCCCTGATGATAAGTCTTATGTTCTAATTTAAAGAAAGTAACAATTGCTCAATTTCACTGAAATTTTTAACTTCAAAGAGCTAATTTATAAAGACACAAAAATAAGAAGTAAAAAATAAAGCAGTAAGAAATTTCCCATGTATACATAAAGAAACGTCAAAGAAATAAAATATTTGGTAGGTAAAGTGGAGAATTGAGACCAACCTGGTAATAATGTTTGTAGGTTTACAATGATTCCATGGCTTTATGTAAAGTTAAATTCTAGTTAAATTCTAGGCTAGTTTTTTCTTGTTTACTCTCATTTCATGATCACTCTTTTGAACGGGCCCAAAGCACTTCTTCTACTTATCCATTTACACATTAATTTCATATACTTTTATTATCTTCTATATATAAAAAACTTTGCTAAATGTGTGGGTGATAGAAAAATACATATGACACAGTTACCTGTCTTCGATGAATATATGTCTCAGTATGAAAGATAAGACACGGACACAAATCACTTCTATTTAAGCTAGTATGATAAAGACTAATACAAGAGAGCAGGGAAAACAAAAAGGTCCATTTCCAGCCAGAGTGATTAGGGAAGCCTTTTGAAGAGGGTTGTTTTCATTTGTTTCATGCTATTCCCCATGAGTATGCAATGCTGAAATTAAGATAAATAGGTATAACAAAACCAACTCTCAGATTATCTCTACTTTTTCCAAGGAGCAAAAGCATTCTGACCTCTTGGCTGGTCTCTATTTTGTGAAGTCACTCTTCAGATCCCCTAGACATAGCCTAGTGAGCAAGTATCACTGCTGGTACACTGGGTTAAGTTTGCTAAGCTTTGAGACCTGGTTGTTTTAATAACTTCTTGCTTCCTACTTAATCTTGTGTGGGAATTAGTATAAAAGGTTAATGTTACTTTACAACTGCATTTATTATTATTCGGAGTTGTGTTGGAAGCCTAAATAAACAAGTCAGATTTTGCCCTGAGATGGTGTGAGAGGCAAAGGAGATTATTTAACCATTAAGCAGCTGGGTGAGGGTAGGACTTGATAAAATGAAGACTCCCAAAGGATTGTGATTCAGATTACATAATACGAATCTAGTGATTATAATCTTTTTTCTCTTAAAAAATCTTTCTTACTCCTTTTTACAGGAAGAAATGGCAAGATAAATAATCCAGTATAATAATCTTCCCAGAATAACAATAACATGTTTTCTTCGGACCTTGTTCAGGTCCTCACTAAACAGTCATGTCAATAAACTGAGAAACAAGGACTTTTCTCATGTATATATACACATGCACACTCACATACAATGTGCCCAGAAATAAACCTACACATATACAGTCAACTAATCTTTGACAAGGATGCCAAGAAGGAATGAAGAAAGAATAGTTTCTTCAATAAATGATGTTGAGAAAACTGGATATTCACATCCAAAAGAATGAAATTGAACCCTTATTTTGTACCATTCACAAAAATTAGCTCAAAATGGATTAAACCTTATGTGTAAGATGTAAAGCAATAAAACTCTTGGAAGAAACCATAAGGAAAAATCTTCTTGACACTGGTCTTGGCAATGATATTTTGGATATTACACCAAAAGTACAGGCAGCAAAAGCAAAAAATAAACAAGTATCAAAGGAAAAGGCATCTGTACAGCAAAGGAAACAATCAACAAAATGAAAAGGCAACCCATGGATGGGAGAAAATATTTGTATATTTGCATGTATCTGATAAGAGGCTAACATCTAAAACATATACTGGGGCGCTTAGGTGGCTCAGTCGGTTGGGCATCTGACTTCCGCTCAGGGCATGATCTCACGGTTCATGGTCTCAAGCCCCGCCTCAGGCTGTGTGCTGACAGCTAGCTCAGAGCCTAGAGCCTGTTTCACATTCTGTGTCTCCCTCTCTCTCTGACCCTTCCCTGCTCACACTGTCTCTCTCTCTCAGAAGTAAATTAAAAAACATTTTAAAAAGAAAGAAATCAGTTAAAAAAATAAAACATAAGGAGCTCAAACAGCTCAACAGCAAAAAAACAAAAACACAAAGAAAAAAATGGGCAAAATACCTGAAGAGATATTTTTCCAAAGAAGTTAAAGAAAAAATGACCAATAAATATACACAAAGGTACTCAACATCACTAGTCATCAAGAAAAAGCAAATCTAAGTCACAATGAGATACCACCTCAAATCTGTTAAGATGGCTATTAATAAAAAGATAATGAATGTTGGTGAGGATGTGGAGAAAAGGGACATGTTACATTCTGTTGGTAGAAATGTAAATTGGGATAGCCACTGTGGAAGACAATATGGAAATGTCTTAAAAAATTAAAAGTAGGGCTATCATAATTATCCAGAAATCCCTCATCTCGGTGTATATCAGAAGGAAATGAATTCACTATCTTGTGGGAATATCTGTACTTCTGTGTTCATCGAAGGGTTATTTACAGTAGCCAAGACATGGAAACAACCTAAGTGTCTGTTGATGGATGAATGGATAAAGAAAATGTAGTATATGTACACAATGGAGTATAATCCAGCCATAAGAAAGAAGGAAATCCTGCCATTTGTGACAACCTGTATGAATCTGGAGGGCATTATACTATGTGAAATAAGCCATACACATAAAGACAATACTGCATGATCTCACTTATGTGTAGAACATAAAAAAGTTGAAATCAGAGAACCAGGGTTAGGGGTCAAAGAAATGGGGAGAAATGGGTCAAAGAGTAGAAACTTAATTATATGGTAAATAATGAAAGCTTTAATGTGCTTCTTGATAACTGTAGTTAATAATATTATATTGTTAACTTGAAATTTTTTGAGAGTACCTCTTAATTGTTCACACACACACAGACAAGTGAGGTGATGGATATGTTAATTAACTTGATTGTGGTAATCATTTCACAATGTATATGCACATTGTCATCATATGGTACACCTTTTTAAAAAGCACATTGTATAATGTAATATATACAATTCTTATTTTCCAATCATACCTCAATAATGCTGAAAAATGTTTACTATAATGATCTGAAAAATGCTGTAAAAATGCCAGAAAGGGAAATCGTGAAATAAGACCAATTACTATAACTATTCAAGCAAGATATTTTTTCCCATGGAAGAGTCATTACTCTTCTTTCTAAAGTTGCTCTTCCTTCTCTTTGAGGAAAATGAGGAGCTTCTGAGGTCTTGAAGGTAAAGAGCTACCATGTATTGTATGTCTACTTTAAACTAAGCATTTTATGTATTTCACTTAATCTTTATATCTACTATGCAATATTATCCTACTATGCAATATTATTACAAGGAGGAAAGAGAGGCTCAGAGAAAGTGTTTCTTGATCCAAGGTATTGACTAGTAAGTGCTGGAGGCTGGATTCACAGCCAGGATGGTCTCACTTGACATTAGTACATGTTCCTGTAGGCCATATGCCACAGAAACCCTTCAGGGTAATGCCTACCCTTAAGTACTTGGGAGTAATATGTGATCATAGAAGAACACAAATTAAAGAATCAAAAAAAAAAAATCAGTCTACAAAAAGTGTAAATAGAACCAAGAGAATCACTTGCAAGCCTGCAATTATATTTTGATGCTTATTAATATACAGCATTTTTCTAAATGCTGTTAAAAATGTTGAAGTTCGGGCGCCTGGGTGGCTTAGTCGGTTAAGCGTCTGACTTTCGCTTAGGTCATGATCTCGCGGTTCGTGGGTTCGAGCCCCGCGTCGGGCTCTGTGCTGACTGCCAGCTCAGAGCCTGGAGCCTGTTTCAGTCTGTGTCTTCCCTCTCTCTCTGACCCTCCCCTGTTCACGCTCTCTCTCTCTCTCTCCTAGAAATAAATAAAAATATTAAAATAAAATGAAGTTCAACACTTAGGGTAATGCATATATTCTGAGGCCTCATGCATGTATTCTGGAACTGTTCCAAGACTAGCCAGAAAGCTCAGATGTTTACAACGGCTCTGAGGAGTCTAGCAAGGCCAGCGTTCACGAGCAGGCTGTTTCAGCTGTCCTTGCCACGCTGACCTGTTCTCACTGGCTTTCACTCTTCTGCCTCCAGTTCCATTTTCTCTGTGATACAAGCTTGACTTACATCAAATAACTTAACCTTTTCCACTTTGTTTCTAAATTGTAGAAGAGAGTAAAAATCATCTTTAAAATTTCTGTTGCTAACATTGGGTAAATTATAACTTAAAGTTCTTTTTTATTTTTTGTAAAACAAACATGTATGTATTAATTATGGTTGAATAACCAATTACTTTGGAAATTATTAGTGAAGTTCCGGTGATCACAGAACAAATATGAAGATTCTCAAATTGGTTATTCTTCTAATATAAAAAGGTGGTTATTCAAGAATTTAAACTGTTTAGGGGCACCTGGGTGGCTCAGTCGGTTAAGCATCTGACTTAGGCTCAGATCATGATCTCACGATTCATGAGTTTGAGCCCCACATTGGGCTCTGTGCTGCCAGCTCAGGGCCTGGAAACTACTTCAGATTCTGTGTCTCCTTCTCTATCTGCCCCTCCCGTGCTGGCACTCTGTCTCTCTCAAAAATAAACAAAAAATTTTAAAAAACGATTTTAATCTGTTTATCATTTAAAAGCTAACTTCCGACAGAGAGAGGGCAAGATGGCGGAGAAGTAAGGAGCTCCGTACTTGCACTCGCGCCCATACATCACACAGAAGGATCTGAAGCCATTGGAAACCTTACAAAACCTGAGAGATTGGGAGAAAAAGGACGCAGAATCCACTGAGAGAGCCTTCTAACGTGAGTGCGAACCGGGGAAGATAAAATCGGGCCGGGATCGGAGACCCCAGGGTGGGAGGCGATCCCCCTCTACCCTCTACGGGGAGTGAGAGGGGAAAAGGAGTCCGAAACAGAAAAACCTCCGCACAGGGGAGAAAAACCTCCCCTCGGTGCATAGAAAGACCGTACTTGCCAAATACATGCACACCAGGTCCCCTCGCGCCAACTGGTCCTGGAGGGGGCTGAGCACACAAACTGCTTCCTTGTGCTGCTCCTGGAGGCTAGACTTCAGAGTGGTGGCGCGCCTGCCGCCATTGTAGCTCCCGGGCGGCTGGGGCCCCTGAAAGAGCCGCGCAGACACCGGGCATCCGCGCCCCTGGCTGGCTGGAACTCGAGAGGGAAGGCAAGGAACTAAAAACTGGGAAATTAGCCTGTGAGTTCGTGTTTTGGGTGACGAGCCATAGAGGGACCCGGTTTTCCTCACTCCAGCGGACTCGGGCTCAGAGCACCCGGCAGGCAAGCCCCCGCGCATGCGCACCAGCCAGACCCAGAGAAGGAAGCAGCGATTCTGACTCCGCTCCCAGAGCTCGGCAGGGGGCCTGGGATTGCCCGAGGGGGCTGCCTGGGAAGCTGTGTCTAAGGCAATTTCAGCGGGGCGTGCGGACGGGGATTTGGAGATTGGAACTGGCCTGGGTTGAAGAGTGCAACCGACTTCGGCTGCGCCCCCGGTACGGGGAGTTTACACGCCCAAAAGAGCGAGGTGCAGCGCTTGGTTCAAGAAGGGACTGGAGCACCGTCACTCTCCTCCCCACAACCGCCGAGGCAGAGCTCCCGCCTGCGGCATTGGATCCACCACGCCCATCCCTGCCTGAGAGGTGCCCTCCTCTCTTTTTTTTTTCTTTTTTTTTCTTTCTTTTTTTTTCTTTTTTTCCTTTTTTTACTTTCTTTTTTTCTTCTTCTTTCTCTTTTCTCTCTTTTTTCCCCAGAACACTGACCTGATTAACTCTGGTCGCCAGCTTGCTTAAACAATCACGAGTCCATTGTGTAAATGTAAACTCTACACCTACTGACATTTTCAGCTCTTTCAGGAGTAATTAGGCTATATAGTTTCTCTGGATAATTCCAGCACCCTTCTCTCACCTATCCAACCATATTCTACCCTTTACCTCTTTGAAAAAAGCTTCTTATCCCTTCTGCATGTTCATTCTATTTCCAATTGTGTCTCATCCCGCCCTGCTTTCTCTCTGTTTCTCTATGCTCCTCAACCAGCACTGCATACACACGGCTATTTAACTGTAGCTGGGAAATCTGGTTATATGCTTTAAACCGTTCTTTGTCCATCGGTTATCTTTTTTTCCTTTTCTTTTCCCCTTTTTGACCCTTTTATGTATTTTATACTCCCTATTATTCGCCCTCCCTCTTCCGTCTTTTCTCTTAACTTTTTCGTTTTCCCTCTCGCTTTGCATGTTAGTTGAATTAGCCTGTGCGTTTGTGTGCTCCTGCTCCCTGTGTGTTTGTCTGTCTG